TTCATAGGATTGTTAAATTTAGTAGTTTGTAATTTGTAAGTAATAAATTTAAATTCATCATTTGTAGCATTTTGAAAATTAGAAATTGTTTCTTATATAGAAATATAACAGTTAAAATTATTCCAAAGTATTCAAGTTCTCACAAGGTGTTCGAGTTCATCAGGATGGTTGGTCTGAATGACCAAACTCAGATGGAGAGAACGATGGATCTTTGGTCGCGGTGCACTATTAGTCAGGTTATACAAAATTTAGAAATCTGCAATGCACTCTCGATAAGGGAGAAATATAGGGTCGTCTAGAACTAGTGTTAAAGCTCTCCAGACGTGATTTCTTAGAGTTTTAAAAAAAAAAATGTTGTCAAACAAATATCCATAACAGCTTCGAAGACATTTCTCGTTCGCTACCTGTTTTTCTCATTTATTAACCTAGATTCGTAGATTCGTAGATTCTAAGGGAACCGAGTGGGACAGGAGCATCCCCCCAAGCCACCGCAGCCATTTTTGACTTACTGTAGCCACCCCACCCCCCCGTCTATAATATCCCCGTCCCAATCAAAAGCCGGAGATATCCCTAAGGGAGTTGGACAATAGTTCCCGAACACTTAGGGACCCATGTCCAAGACAATTGCGGCGCCGAACAGCCAGTGCCGGACAGTCGCAGAGAATGTGCACGGCGGTCTCATCGCCACCCCCACAAAATCTGCACAGGGGGGAGCCCGACTTCCCCAGCCTATGCAGGTGGTATTTCACCGAGCAGTGCCCCGTGAAGAAATTCGCAATAGTGCGAACCCGGCTCCTGCTCATCCCCAGCAACTCCGCAGCGAATCCGCCGGAGCACGCCGGAATAAACACTTTCGCATGACGGCACCCTTTCGTGTCCCGCCAGTGACGAGCGCATTCCGCCGCGAGTAGGCAGGCAAGCCTCACGTGTCCCCCACGGCGGAAGAAGGCAGACCACAAAAAGGCAGCGGCTGCACAAAGGCAGCCCCAGAACCCCTCCGCGCCAACTCATCGGCAACTTCGTTGCCCGCATGGCCACTATGGCCCGGCACCCAAATGAGCATCACTCTGTTTTACGATGCCAATTCCATAAGTGCAGCAAGGCAGCTCCAGACCAGCTTGGATGTAACCTGAGCTGAACGGAGCGCCAGCAGTGCAGCCCTGCTGTCTGAGAACACATAGATGGTGCGGTTTCTATACCCCCTTTCCAAATTGATTCTCAGACAGATCTCTATTGCATGTATTTCGGCCTGGAACACTGTGCAATACGGGTCAAGGGTTTTTATTAACCTAACATGACAGTAATGTGTACAGTTGATGTCAGGTTTACAATTTTCAAGTAATAGATGATTAACCAGACAGCTACAGACTACACTGTGTATGAAATATTCGTACTACTTTGTTAAGTTAAGTTTCAAACGTATTTTTAATTTAATTCGATTACGTTCCTTTGATAACAGAATTCGCCTCACTCGGGTCAATTCGTTTCTTCATTTCCTTAAGTATTTCTGCATTTGTTTTTCCTCCCGTCGGCTTTATTATTGCCACATCCGGCCTCGCTCTCGACTGCCCCCTTGCTCGTTCCTGGTTTCTTGATTCGATTAGTTCCTGGAATTCGACTAGGTTAATTCACTGTAAACCTAGGTAACTAAATAGAACTTCCTTCTCGAAGATCGTTTTTTTTATTGATGGTCAACTACACATTAAGTTTGCACCACGTTCTTAAAATTTGCTGGAAAATATCCTTCTTACAATTACAATTTGTATTAATTAAGATGACAACATACATTGAATTTCACTAAATATGTTCTACATACACATATGTACACAAATTTTAAATTTGAAAACAATAATGTTATTATCATAATTAATTAGTTTTTTACTATACATTGAAATTTTTAGTCTTAAACATCTGTACAGTTAATTAGCGAAAGTTATTTTTGTACTAAAATTAGCGTTTACACGTAGAAATAGACAATTAATTTCAATTATGTTTTCTGGTGTTTAGTATTGAATTTAATGAGATTTATATGCAAGTGTTATACACGTATTTAATGATTTTGTAATAAATTGATTATTTTAAGACGATGTACATCTTATTGTTATGTTCGTCGCGTAATTTAGGCAATAAAATTTAGTATATTTATAACAGTCTCACATTTATATGCTGGAAGTTTAGCTTATTTGGCTGAACATTTTAGCTTATTTAACATTTTGTATTTGAAATTGACAATTTATATAGATATCAAGAGGTTTGACATCCTACATATAACAGCTGACTTCCACTCATCACAATGAGGCCTTTGGATGAGTACCGTCCTGGGAGTTTCTCAAAGGGGAGAATGTTACACTTCCCTCTTATATGTTTACAATTCATTTATTAATAGTATAAAAGTGAAGTCCAGATATTGTTAACACGTTGAGGAAGTCTATCAAAAGACCTTGCATTAACCCTTTGGACTCGGCTTTTGAATAACGTAATTAGCACGTGTTTCACATGTGAGACTTATTTTCTTTGTAAAAAAGAAACTGTCTGTGACGAAGAAAGTCGTGTTAAAATTTAGCATGGCGAATCATTTAAAAACGAAATTATACAAAGAGAGCCATTTTTAACTTTTATCGATATTTTGAACTTTACTGGTACATATGTGTACCAGCCTTCACATTCTTTTCTATGCGATAGATATTTCTCAACACATGCAATTAAATATGGCGGAACTGTGATCTATGTGAAAGATGACCCGGAGAAACAAAACGCAACATGTCATATTAAGTCGCTTGAGTAGGAAGAAAGAGTTGTCGGCAGCTAAATAAACGTGTATTCCTGCTAAATTCAATGTACTCTGTTCAACAGCCAATGATAGACTCGTTTCACAAAAGTGTAAAAATAACAAAACGTAATGTTTGTATCATACTTTAACGGTGACACCCAGCATAGGGTATAAAATATGCAATTTTAAGAAATTCTTTTTTTTCGCAAACAAAATGGTGGGGGGTTAAAAGTCAAAATTTAAAATGACAATTTATAAATAATAAATGACCTCTTTACTTTCTCTTTTTTAATAAATTTTATTAAAATGTTAAAAATATTACAAAGCGGGCGTCGAAACGCTCGGTTTAACATTGAAACAAAAAATTAATGTGGGACGTAGATATTACTGATACAGCAGGTACCCGGAATATATTTTTAAATCTTGTCATATTTTAATAGTTTTTAAATGTTAAATGCTATTTTTAATTTCTTACCTTTAATATTTAATTTGAAAAGGTAAAAACACAATATCAAGTTTTTGTAATAAGGATTCATGAAAAAAGTTTTTTTTTTTTAAAATTACGCACTTAAAAAAAAATTTCCCACACAAAATTTATTTAAGTAAAAGGCTAAAAATTTATCAGAATTTTAAAAATTACTTGTCAATTTCTGTAAAATTTTTGAGTATGTAATATTGAAAAGTTTGAAAATAAGAGAAAAGATTACCTAAACAATGTCCTTAATCTTTTCAACTTTAACAAAACTTTTTAAACGATTATTCTGACAGTTTATCCAGAGTTTATGTTTCTCTTCTTATACATAGGAAAAATGCTTGAAGGGATTTTTAGGACAACTTTTATTATAACCGGAAATTTTTGTTTTTTTTACTTGTTTCAGGATGATTTTTTCTATTATTTTCCAATAAAAAAAAAATAAGGAGAAGTACAAAAGAAAAATTAAAATTTCAATCAAAAAGTTTAAAAAGCGATTCTGTTTCAATTTTAAAATGAAAAAAATATTAAAGTTGTTAAAAATCGTCATACGCAAACATCAATAACAAAAAATTCTTATACCTTTCAATCAGTACACCTTCATTATTTTACATTGGATGCTGCTGTTAATGAGTTGATGAAACTTTTGTATTCTGAACGAAGTTATGAAAATATTAGAAAATATATGAGCATCTCACCGATAACTGATAGTGTGTTCACTCGAAAAATTCGAGTTCAGTTCGCGACTGGTAGTATATTACCGTATCGTAATTTATCATTTAAAGAATTTCCATTTTCAACCCTCTGACAGGTTGAGGCTCACAAGTAAATTGCTATGCCGCCATATTCAATGAATGTCTACCGCAATGAATGTCTAAATACAGAATTAAGCAAATGAAAATTAAAACAAAGAAAGTCAAAATTTTTCTACATTGCTTGGTCCATTGATGGTTGAGCTATTCAGCTGTTCTGTAATTTTGTGAAGCAATTTTCGTTATTTTAATTGTTCGTAATGAAATTCTTCTTTTGAAATCGATTCAAATAAATTAAGAGAAATTAATAATACCCACTGTAGCAAGCAAATAATCAAGATTTAGTTCGATTTGCTCTCCACTTTGAACTAGATAAAGCTAGAAAATCGAAAATATTTAAGCAAATAATTAAAAGTTGCCGGCGAAAGCAAAGAAATTTCAATTCTCAAAATAATTTTTTTTCTTCTTTTAATCGATTCAAAAATCTTATCAGAGGTGTTGATAAAGTACTTCCGTTTTTTTAGTCGTACACTTTTTATTGCCGGTTATTATGTTTTAATTGTACTATAAACTCTTATTAAAGCTCAAAATATGAAAGTTTTATAGTGAAAATATTTTTATCTTTAAGTATTTTTCACAAATTTTTTAATTAGTAGTTTACCCGCTACTTCTTATCTAGAAGTGTGCGCTGATAATGTCAAAATAAAAACAGTGATAACACATTTGTATAAACTTTTACTTTTATTGCTCTTCCATAATTGCTATATAGCTCTAGTCTAAGTGATAATTATAGAGCTTTATACGTAAACACTTGCCTCTCATCCCTAAATTTATTTAATATTCTTTTTTATTAAATTTGGTTTTTAAAGATTATTTTATTAAAATATACAATGTTTCCAGTAAAATTTGAACACAATTATTAAATACACACATATATATACGTGAAAAAAAAACATCTATACGTACAAAAAATAAAAAGAAGCCATTTTTAATTTATTTAAGTTCCTTAAACATATCTTTTTAACCAATTTATAATATCTGGATGATTAATTTTTGTATAACCAGATATTGCACGATCTGGTGTTTCAACACCACATGCATAATTCCATGTCCATGCAATACCACATAATGCCATTTCATCGGTACATATTAAACCGGCACCTTCATCACCAGAACATGGTCCAACAGCTTCTTCATTTTTAGCCATTGGTATAACAACATGTACAGCACCGCACATCATTCTATCTGTACTAAAACCTTTACCTTCGAATGTATTAACACAATCTTCATGTGGTAAAATTCTTAAACCAGCTGCTCTTAATTCATGTGATATACTACCGGTACCAACAATAACACCCCAACCAGCTATTAATGCAGCTGTACTTGTTGATGCCTGATGATGTTGTAATGGTATCGGTTGAGTTGATGGACTAAATAATAAACTTCCATGTAATTCAAGTAATCCAACATTACAATCACGATTAAATGAATCAGTAAACATTTCATGTATTCTTGTTTTAGCAACTGGTAAAACTTGTTGTGGTGCCTCTAATGAATCTGAACCGGCAGCAACTGTTAAATCACTTATTGCTTCTTTTATAAAACATGATGCAGCTGTTATAATTAATTTTGGTTTTAAAATTGTTCCACCACAAATATGATAATTTTGTGAACGAATCGATACTTGATGAGGAAATTGTTCAATTAAGGTTTTAAAACCACCCGAAATTCTTGGTTGAAATGCTCCAGCAAATCCATATATACCAATTACAAAAATGATTATTTTAAACATTTTGTCTAGAATTTCGAATTTAAAATGATAGATTTTGAATTTTAAATGTTTCTTATATAGTTAAGAAACTGAATTGTTGGAAATGTGAAGAAAAAACTAGGTTAATTTGCTGTCTTATTATGTTTTCCTTCTATGTTCACAATTTTATCTTCCCTATATTACACTCTATTATAGCTTAACAAGCTCTAATTTGTTTGAAAATTACTACTTTAATTTGAGATAATCACTATATAAATTACATGCATTCCTTAAACTGATAAGAATAACTAAAAAAAAAAATAAAAAATCGTGAATATTCCTTGGAAATATGAAAAATTATTTCTACATATAAATTAGATTATTTCCTGCACTATTAATAAGGGAACTCAGATCAATTTCAGGATTTGGGAAGAAGCACATTTTCTCTAATAATGTAAAACAGTCTTGACAGATTTGTTTCAAAAATACTGTTTCATTTATAGGCATTGCTCTCTTAATATTGTATTTCCTCTTTCATCGTAAATGTTATATTAGAAAAGGAAGCTTATTTTTATTTTATTAAGAGTTAAATTAACCGATTAAGAACTAAGTGAGCCGGCTTATTTTTGCCACAGGATTTCGAGATTGAAATTTTGATAATTTTCAAAAGAAGTATAACGGAAGCAAAAAAAGATGCAAAAAGTTTTATACTGGCAAAAGCGAACCACAATTTATCAACTTCGGACCAACGAAAGACGGACTGAGTTAAATTAATAAGCTGATTTTCAATTATTTTTTCAATTGGATAAAGAATATATGAGGCACAGTAACTGATTGGAAAACTAATTAAAATTTTTCTATGGTAATAGTTTTCAACACTTGGTTTAAGAGATAAGAATTAAAAGTTTTAAAAATTTTAATCATTTCATAAAATCTTTGCATAGATTTAAAGAAAAAAATTTTTTTAATTAAATTCGTTAGGATTTTTATTAGCTTGTCATCGTTTTAATCCAGACATTCAATTTTTTTTATCATTCAATGAACTAAAAAATATAGCGGTTTTCTTAATCATTGAAAAATTTTTTCAAAAGTGTGTTTAACATTCAAGGACATATTACAAGGTTGTAATATTAAACTTGGATTATAGATGACTTTGTAGATTTGAGTTTAATAAAATAGTGTTACATACTTTTACATAATCGCTTGAGATTATGTAATTAATAATTAATAATCGTTAAGAATCGAATTAAGTTAATTAAGCCGAAAGTCATTGAGATCTAGATATTTTCTGAATGACGCACAGAGTACTTATAGAGTGATTTTACTGTAAAAAGTTTAAAACTATTGCAAAAATTGGAAATATTTTTCGGTTACCGCAGCCAGCCATAGCTTATTGTAAGCTTCTCGTATCGCGACCATACCATTTCGATCTGAGGCAAATAACCGGAGATATCTCACACAAAAGATTGGACTTTAGTTCTTTAACAATGAGAAACCATCTGTGCACTCTGACGGCCAGAGTCAGAAAAAAAATATGTGTGGCTGCTAATTTATCAGCGTGGCCGAATTTACAGAAAAGAGTGTTAGATTCATCCAGCTTATGCAGACGATATTTGATCGGAGATGTTTTCAATCTGATTTTAATCCATACACAGAAACTCTAAAGAAAACGTCCTTGAATAAAATGAGAGAAACCGCTTCGCATAATAATATCCCTTCGTGAGCCGCAAAAGAATTAGAGCTGTACGAATTTTTCCATGTCAACTTCTCAGAAATTTCGTTCTTCCTATGCGCACTGTGATTCCCATAAGCATCACTTTATTTCCTATGATGCCAATTCAACCAGTGACAATTCTACGTCAGCTTTAATGTAACATGAGTCAATTGAAGCGCAAACAACACTGTTCTGCAGTGTGAAAGCGCGTATATGATGAGATTTCGTATACGCATTCTAAATTCGCTCTGAAGCCGATCTCTCTTACTAAATGTTGAGAATTATTTATTAAAATAAGAAATTTCTGTTTTTAAACAGGTGGAACCGCAACGAGTCAATAATTTGCAATATGAGTTTTTATGAAATTTTACTGAAAATTAAAAATTATTTAAAAATAAAAAATAATTTAAAATGTGAAATGCATTAAAATATCAAATATCCGTCAAGTAATCATAAATTAAAAAGAAGGAGCCACAAAAGAGGAAATAAAGGAAGAAACTACTTTCAATTATTATCTTTTATCCTTGTCACATCAAGACATTTTTAGTCCGATCAACCTTCGTACGAAACTCTTTTTCTCTTTTAATATTTTTTTATTTTTTTTTTATTTTCATTTCTTTTTTAATTATTAAGTCATATTTTATTAATTGCACGTGTTGAGGAGGGTTAATAAATTAATAAATTGAACATCAAATAAAAAATACGTAATTGAAAACTTAATTTAGAGTAGGTCTATATTTAGCATTGTATTAGAAATAAGTGAAATTTACGCTACGGATAAAGCACAAGAATCCAATAGTATCTGAATTATGAGAATTGTATCGTCATCCATTATTCCTTTAAAACTCCCACTTCTCAAAGAGAAGTAACGTTACAAACGAGCAAAAATTTGACGAAAGTTCTAAATAAAAATTCAACTTAATCTCGAGTTTCCACATGGTGCTCTATGTGTGTATAAGAATGGAATATGGAATACTAATTTTTCAGCTTTCACAGCTTTTCGTATTTGTTATCCTCTAACATGAGAAACTTTTCAAAAGTTCTTGTACATTTTCATATTTGGCTTAACAAGCAATTTTTTTGGCAAACGTTTTTATGTCGCAAAACGTATTGTTACGAGTCAAACTATGGTAAAACGCAATGAGTGCCGTAATTCGATTCCGAGTATTCACAATAATATAGGAAATGAATACAAATTCAATATTTCAGTGAATGCAATTCACAATAATTCACTTTTCATTCAATATTCTTCTATTTTGAATTAAAATCAAATTTCATTATAAATTTAATACGCCTTTAATTTTTCCCAATAATTTTCATATGTGAACCCTTACATATATGCAACTAAAATGAAATTCTTCCTTTATAATATGTTCTTAAAATATAACAACACTGACAAACAATTAACTATACAGTCATCAGCTGGTGCAAATGAAATCACAGGAATCAACAGTTATTTACTTATTGCCGGTATTTTCCTTTGAGTTTTTAACGTGACGTTCAAAGCAAAAAAAAAAAAGATAGAAAACAAAGTTAGTAAGATGAAGAAAACGAGCAAGTATAAGAAATTTTATTATAGGATAAGAAAAGGATAACACAGGAAAGTAATATTTCTATATTTAGTGGTATTGTCTATTTTCTGTTATACAAAATATAAGTAAATGAAAGTAGAAGAAAAGGATTTTTCTTATTCTTCTTTTTGTTTTCCTACTCATTTCTCTATTGTATATAAATATATGTATATTTATTTCTTGTTATAAATAAATCTGACAGGTTTCCCTTAGATAACTTTAGAGTGCGCTTTTCATCATCAATAACATCTTGTTTTTTTTTGTTTTGTGTTAATGGAATATGAAACAAAACAATGTACATGTGTTCACAGAAGATGTTTGAGTAAGATTTTAAGTGAAATAAAGAGAATTATTGTTAATATAGAAGAAATAAATGAACAAAACTGTGGTGTAAGTGTTAAAAATGATATTATTATTAAAGAAGATTTACAATTCTACATACATTTTAAATAAACGTGTACTTATGGTATAAATGTAATTGCAAAAGATATGAAAAATTTGCGATTTTAGTTTTTTATTATGTGAAATTGCAATTTAATGTTTTTATTTCTCTGGGAAGTAAAATAAACTATTGTTAAATTTGAATGAATACACTAAAGCCCTCTTATAGAGAGCTTATAAATTAACATCGAATCCATTATAACGTTTATCAAGTGATACTTTTTCATTATCTTTATGATTGCTCGACTCTTCAGAAAATCATATTCCTCTCGCTGAGTATGGCTCTAGCTAAAGTCAACTTGACTGCACTTGACATTATTTTTTTCTCAGCTACATTTAAAAGAACGGAGTGGCGCTCATAGGAAACTTACAGTTAAACGTACAATGACAACTTAAGAGAAAATATTAACAAAACAGCAATATTTCTGCTAATTGTAGTATCGCCCTGTAGTATGTAATATTCCGCTAATTGTAGTAAGCATTCATTACCTTAACAAAGCAACCAATTATTTATTTACTCAAGTCATTCTCTCTTTTGGAAGCGAGAGTATTTTTTGTTTGCAACTCTGCGAAATATAAAATTTAACAAAAAAGCTGATAAATTTGACAGCAAAAACTGCAACCTCAATAAAACATAAACGTCAAAGAAATTATGTAAATTTTATTGAAGTGAACCACAATCTAAAATTCAAATGCATTGGATTTGACATGAAATTCAATACAAATTAAAAATTTTTATAGAGAGCACTGCTCACTCTTCTCTCTCAATTCTCTTCTTCTTTGATTCTTTCTACACAGATTTTATTTACTCAAAATTTTGTTCATCGAGTATGGATAATTAAGTTAAGAATAATTTTAGAATAATTTTGTTATATGAAACACAATTAACCAAAGTTATTTTCAACATTACAATAAAATTTATTTTACATATACTACAACAATAGGTCACTCATCCCATTTTGAATGCTCTCTTTTTGTATAATTTTGTTTTAGAAATCTACATATGTACTCGTATGAGTATGGCTCTGCTTATTCAAATTAATGTTACAAAAATACATTAATTTTAATTTGTAAAATATATGCTTGTGTCTATGTATGTATTTATTTACTAATAAGAAGGGGTTTTGTGTTCTTTTAACATGCTTTTAATTAATTGAAGTGTTTAATAAGGCAAAACTCTCAGTTGAAAATGAAAATTTTTGGAATTTTAAAAATTTATTTTGTCTTTTATTCAACCAAATAATTATGACCAAATGTAGCTCTCAATAATAACTTTAAAGTATATAAACAATATTTATTAAGTGATAAGAACATGC